TAAGAATGATGAGAATATGATGTTCATGAGCTGATGCTGGTGATGTGCTTGCTGTTCTGCTGTCCAACGGTCGCTCAGCTTTGTTTATCGCTCACCCCGCCACCGAAGTCTGGTTTCGATCAACCACTTCTGCGCTGTGCGCAGCGGCATGGCCGTCTGGTGAGCCGTCCTCGATATCACAGAAGCTCTGCCAACATAATCCTCGGCCATGGCGGTTGAGAATGCCATCGGATTCAAGATACGTTGCTGGCCTGACAGCTGCTTCCTTAGATCCAAACGGACATGATCAATATAGTGAGCCTTGGGGGTGATATTGAAGAAAACCAGACCGTCGTTGTTGGCATCAGACGCCAGCCGAATGTAGTTGACCAGGAACTTGTCCAAACAGTCCACCGCACGTCGTGCTTCAGGTAGCGTCATGAAGATACGGTCGGCTTTGGAACATGTCCGCATGAAATCGTCGAGGCCTGATTTGCTTTAAACATGGACAAGATCTATACTTGAGTTAGTTTACATGCACAACATTAGCAAAATAGCAAGCAATACAACAAGCATCTCATGGCATGAGCAAGACACCATGAGCGCAAGCAAACATGTGCTTCATGTAGTTGTTGTGTTCAAAAGGTCGCCCCAGATAGTCCACAATCCACGATAGCATCAAGTGCGTGTCCGAAGCTTTAAAGCTACTGTCAGGCATGCTGCGCGGGCCCTTCCAGCCCAAATTCTCTCTCGTCCATTGCTTAACCATTGGTGTCATTTTCAAGACGTGCTTGCAAAAGTGCTTGAAATCGCTGTAGGCTTCTTCTATCCTGACAGGAATACTTCGCCCGAGAGCCTCGTCTGTGGGAACAAAATGATCCAGGCGAACCAAGAAGCAAATTGCAGAAGACAAGAACGTGCGACCAATTCCCAAATGGACGAGGTGAAAAATATCTTTCGCCAAAAAGGTCGCGTCGCCGTTCGTACTCAAAGCAGCCAATGGTGGCTCGCTATTCCATGGGACCTCCTGACCCACTGTGGCCCTCCAAGAAGCTGTAGTACGAACATCAGTATATGGGATCGTAGTGCCGTTGGCACTGCACCATGGGCACATGGGATTCGGAACACGCAAGAAATTTCGTTTGCAATGAAAAATCTTTGCCTGAGCAGGCAGGTCGCCCTCAAGACTTATAAAGCATAAAAAGAACGTACCGTGCTCGGTGGTGATACCAGTCTCCATCGCCGATTTTGCTTGGTTTGCCAGCTCCTCCATCAGCGAATCTAGCACTTCGTTGCCCCATTCCCAACCCATATTGTGGTGCCGGTAAGCTTCGTGACCCATGGCCGTCCAAAAAAAATACCGGAGCCAACTTGCATCACCAGATGCGAGGACTGGTCCCCAGGAGCACTGGAGAACTGCACTCTTCCGAACTCCAGTGCCCTCATCTATATGAAACTTGCAAGGAATACAGAATTTCAGCTCATCTTGGGAATGGACCTGGAAGACTTTGCTATCGGGCTGAGTTTGACGAAAGGTCCTCCAGAATCTCAGAAAAAGCCC